GACAGGTTTCAGTAGAGCTTCCAGACTAAGACAGATTGGGAAGAAGGACCTAGTGATATAGTTCTGAAAAAACTGGCCAGTGAAAATCTTTTGGATAGCAGCACAACATTGTCTGATATAGTTCTGGAAGATGAGCCCCTCTGGATGGGAGGCACTCAAAATACAACTAGGGAAGAGCTGCCTCCTCAAAGTAGGGTCAACCTTAATGATGTGGATGGAGTCAAGCTTTTGGGACCTTCATTTGCTGATGCAGCTTGACTCACAATGAGAAGGAACGGCTGCAAACGTCCATTAATAATCAGAACGTGGAATGTATGGTGTGTGTCTCAGGGAACTTTAGGTTTTGTCAAATGTGATGTGGTATTTTTGGAGGTGTATTTTCTGGGTTTTTGTGCTGTGATAGAGTGTTGTGTGCGTTTTTTTGTTTTGGACTTTTCTATTTTGTTGTTTGTGAGGAGTTGCAGATTGGTGGCGTGAGGTTTCTCGTTGATGGGCGCCTTTCACGTTTTATTCTGTGTTCTGACTTTGTCGGTTGTCTGTTATGGTCCATGTTCCATGTGGGTAGGCGGGTTACTGTTTCTGTTCTTTATTTTTCCGCTTTATGCACTGCTACTAATGATAAAGATGTTGAAGTTTTTTATTTTTTTCTGTTTTTTGAGTCTGATCCTGCTTGCACTTGCGATGGATTTGTACTTTTTTTTTTTTTTGATTAGGATGGTTGAGTTGGAAGCAGGGTAGGTGGTTGGGTAGTTTGGCCTTGTTGCTTTGGTTGTCTCAGTGGCTGGGGTGGTCTCCTTTTGGAATTTTGCTGACTTCTTCTTTGTTGTTCCTTTTTTTTATGTTTTTTCACTGCCGTTATCCGTGTGAATTTCAGTGGATTTCATCCGGTGGAATCCAATGGACTCCATTTGTGTACATTTGTGGTGTGGGATGTTGTTGTCGTTCGTTATCATCAGTCCGGTGGCTGCCTGTGGCTGAGTGCATTGCTGATCTTCATTTTTTGGTTGTATGTGAGTTCAATTTGAAGCTGTCCGTGCAAGCCTGAGTATCTTCTTGCTTATTTTCGAGCTGATTTTAGGGATTGTCTTGAGTCTTTGCTTGGTTCTTTGCACACTTGTGCGGAGTCGTGTGATGAGTTGTGTGATGTCATCCGTAATGTGATCCATGGGTCGTTCAAAAAGTCGTTAAAAAGAGATGAAAATGGATGTCAGAAGGGATTTTTGAGGTTGCTCTTGAACTTGGTGTTGCTTTTGTAGTTGGTAGGCATGTTGAAGTAATGTTGCTGAACGGGCTGTTTCGAAGATTTGCTTGTGAGGCTTGTGTAGATGTTGTAATGTGTTGTGCTGAGATGTGGGGTTACCTGGCGTTAAGGGGAGGACATGTTTGGCTCTTTTTGGGCTTCCTGAAGTTAAGAAAACCGTTGAAGCCTTTAGTGGTAATAGTTGCGGTTTTTGTGGATTCTGTGGTCCCTGGTGTCTCTGTTGTTATGGTTTTTGTTGGTTCGGTTGCTGTCCGCAGTTGTCATCCGTTCGCATCTCCTCGTCGGTGCTCTGGGGCCGTTTTGGTCTGTTCTATTCTTTACTATGGGTTGGCTTTGTGTCGGCATCCACTGTTTTTTTGTTTTTTTTTTTTTTTACATAGACAACTGCACTGTTGAGAGATTTCTTATAATTCAGACTCACAAAATGAACACTGGTTCAAAGTACCAAGGAGCCAGAGGTTACTACTTAGCTTCTACTATTCAAATATACATTGATGTAATGATCATTTTGCTTGCTGTTCTGATAGCTGTGAGTTTGTTTATTTTTTCTCGTTTTTTTTCTATTTTTTTATTTTTTTCTTCTCTTTTTCCCTTTTTCGTTTTTTTTTTAAGCCCTTTAAGGGATTTCATCCTGGTCTTTTTGTTTTTCTTTTTTGGCTTTTCCTCTTGCTTTTTTTATTGTTTTTTTTTTTTTTTCTGAATTTTCCCTCTTTTCAGTTTTTTTGTTCCCTTTTTTGCTGGTTCTTTTGCCTTATTATTGTTTTTTTTTTCAAGGTTCTTTTTTGGTTTTTCCAGCTTTTGTTTTTTTTTTTTTTTTTGTTTGTTTTTTGTTTGTTTTTTACTTGTTTTTTTTTTTTTTCTTATTCTTTTTTTGCTGCTTAGGCTTTTTTTAAGAACACTGTATATTTTTATATTATTGTTTTTGTTTTTTAATGTGAGCACCTCTTTTTTTTTTTCTGTTGTTTTTGGTTTGTATGTATTTGTTGTTGTTGTGGTTGTGGTTGTTTTGTTTTTGTTGTTTTTATTGCTCGATTCGCTTCACCTTCTTGCTGTGTGTTTCTGTGTGTTTGTTTTTGTTTATGGAATGTGTGGAGTTCTATATTTTTTTTCTTGTTGTTTTTTTTTCTCTCTTTGCTTTTGTCCTCTCCTGGATGCTTTTTCCCTTTGTTCTTTTCCTTGTTTTTGTTGTTGTTCCTGTTTGAGTTTTTGGCTTGGTGTTGTTTGTTAGTGGATGTAGGTCTCGTTGTGAGGGCATTTCTTTTTTTCTTGACTTTGGGTCCTTGTTCTGTCCCCGTCTAGTTTGGTTTTCCTCTTGTGTGTTTTCTGCCATGTGGGGGCTCTTCTTTCTTTCTTTTTCTCTACTTTGTTGGCACTTTGTTTTTTCTTTCCTGTTTCTTTGCTTTGTTTGTGTGTCTGTTGGAGCTTTTAGCTTGTCCGGTTACCTTCTTCGTCTTTTTCGGGCT